GTGTTCGGGTGTGTCTGTGAATGTGTATGAATGGGTGTACGGTCACGCTATTGTGTGTTTGTCTTTCAGCTCTCCACTATCGATTTCTCCGCAAACATCGACATCACCAAGATCCGACAGCTGAAGCTGGATGACATCAGGCGATCGTATTTTTTTGTATCCGTTTGTCAGAGTCTTTTCAACAGTGACATCAGCTAAAGCACAAATAAATAACCACTAGTGTTTCTGCCTCAGTGGAGTCATGTACTTTCCTTGACTGTACGTTTTCTGTCAGGTATTCTTTATAATAACCGCTTTCTTCGGCACAGGGAACATAGCTTCCATTAACAGGTATGTAGGCCATTGCATGCAGATGTATTTGTGTGTGTTCAGTGACAGGAAGTTGTCTTAAGGGGGGTTGTATGGCTTTGCATGTTTATCATGGGTGAAGTGAATGTCGGGTAAGAGGTTGATTGGGGATGCATGCTTTTTTTTTTTTGATTATAGGAAGGATGTAAGTGGTTTGTGGGGGGAAAAAAACAGTAGACTCATACTGTCTTTGCATTGTTGCATTGTTGTGTAGACCAGCCAATCGTTTTTGTAGTCCATGCCTCAGGTTACAAAGATAAATAAATCTATGCAGGACAGATTTGTGCTCTGAATGAATGACTCTACAGGTTTTGAAGTCGTCTGCAGTCACTTCTTCTGCTTCTCTCTCCTAGTTTTGACCCAGCATCTGTTTATTGCTTCCTCACCGTCTTCAACCCCTTCATCATGGGAGGGCTGATGATGTGGAAGGTATATTTTTAACACTTTCCTTTTATGGTATATGCTGTGTACCCGCTCGTCAGGTTTTCTTTCAGCTCAAGAAGTGAGTTCCCGAGAAAGGGAAGTAGTCTTGCAGACTGTGACGAGTCACAATCTATCGATGCATCTGTTGATGTCTGGGAAATGTGCTTCAATTAATTTCCCCGTCCTTCGTTACATCTGAAATGTCTTGTCCTTTGTTCCTCCAGGTTATTATCCCGTTCATAATAGTGATGTGTACGTTTGAGACCATCCAAGTTGCAACACAGCTCTCATCGAGAAGGTAACTCCTTTAAAATAAGATAGCCAGCTGTCCCGAGCCTTTATCATTGATCTGATCACTGATCTATAGTACATCCTGTTTGCGTAAACTACATCATCTCTTAATGTCAGATCCATGATCGCCTCGCAGACGCCAGCAGAAGTGTGCATGTCATCTTGTATGCAGTTTTAAATTTAAAACAGCTATTTGCATCTTTGGCAGAATTTGTGTCAGGTATAGATCTTAAACCACACGTCAACTCAAATAACTAAATAATATGTGCCTTTCATTTCGTGGTTTATGGTGTGTGAAGAGGGTTTTGATCTACTGTTGATACTGTACGAGAAGTAGACGTGTCGTTGTGGCTGTTAAATGTGAGAGATCTTGCTTATAGTGCTTTCTCACCTCTGTGCTTGTGTATTCCTCTCTTCTAGTTTGTTCCTCATTGTTCTGGTCATCTCCGACTTGATGGCTCTGGTAAGGCTGTCTGAACGGTTAAAAAGAGTTGAGTGTTGGGTTAAAGCAGTGGTTCCCTTCTGGTGGGTCGCGGGTCCATTCTGAATGGACCGCAAGTGACTCGCATGTGTCACGTTTGTGAGTGACTAACTTAACAGAGACAGCAAACTAGCTCAATGACAGTTAAAGGGACAGTTCACCCCAAAATCAAAAATGCATATGTTGGTGCTACTTATCCATCTAGTTTTGGTGTGACTTGCCATGCATCTGTGGAGGTCTGTGGATTATCTTGAGTAACCAGGTCATGGTTTCAGAAAGAGACAGTGCTGTTGAGTTTTTCAAATTTATTTTTTGCATTTTATGCACCACAAGTCACATCTTGTTCCGTTATATTTGAGAGAAGGCCAGACATCTCTATGGTAGACAGATGAATTTATTTATTTCATTTTGTTTTAATGTTATTTAAAATATACAGTTTAAAACATCATACAACTACAACAAACTATAAACATTGAAGGCACAATAAAATACATAAACCACAATCCACTACAGGTAAGAGGAAACTGTCCCTTTAAAGGTGGACTGTGACATTCCTTGTCAAATTATTTTTGTCTTCTATCTCCTCCATCAAAATCAATTTTTAACTCGCTCTTCCTCTCCTCAGCATTTTTTCTTCCTGGTGCAGGACTACGGCAGCTGGTTGGACATTGGCACCAGGTAAGTTCACTGAGTTATACACTGCTCTAAGTCTTAATTAATAACTTGACTCATATGCACACACTCCCCCTCTTCCACCCATGTGACTTTTTCAGCCTCTATTTTTATTTGTGATGCATACACATAAATATGCTCAACCTTTTCCTCTGTGTCTTTCAGCATTAGTCATTATGTGATAGTGATGTCGATGACCATCTTCCTGATGGTGCTCAGTGTGTTCACACACACTCTCACCTCGCAAAGACTCATCCTGTGGAGGAGACCCAAGATGCACTTCCCCTAAATAAACATGCGTTTGTGTGCGCTTGTGCATCTGCACGTACTAGTGAAATCAAAATGTTTAGTATGTATTTGACTTTTTTTTAGATACCTTTAATTTAGCATTTGCCTTATTGAGCCAGAGTTTGTTTATTTAAGATATGGGATGTTGTTTTGGGACTTAATACACGCCACTTTGGAAATCCCCTCTCATGTATGTCATTTGTAGTCAGATACTTTAAATCATCCTCTTACAACTGCTTAAAAAATTGTACCACAAACATGACTATGGCTGAAAATTACATGATGGTCTTACAGAGAGAATTACTTAAAAGCCCAATATCACATATTACAGTTTGCCTCAGAGGGCTTTACAGCATCCCTCTGTCTTTGATCCTCACAACGAATATGGAAAAACTCCCTCAAAAAACCCCTTTTAACAGGGGAAGGAAGGAGGGAAGGAAGGAAGGAAGAGAAACTGAGGAGGGATCCCTCCTCCGGGATGGACAGACATGCAACATTCTCAGTAGAAAATACTGTCCATAACAGTTCCTTCCTTGTATTCATATAAAATAACCACTTACTGGGGCGTTGGTGGCTTAGTGGTAGAGCAGGCGCCCCATGTACAAGGCTGTTGCTGCAGCGGCCCGGGTTCGACTCCAGCTTTTGCTGCATGTCACTCCCTCTCTCTCTCTCCCCTTTCACACTTGTCTCTATAAAATAAAGGCTAAAAAATGCCCCAAAAAATATCTTTAAAAAAATAAAAAATAAAAAATAACCACTTACTGCTCAGATAGGTGGTTTTAAAAGGACATTTTCCAGAGTGGCGTAAGACTTTTGCACACTTCTGTTTACACTGTATTCTTCTGTACACTCAGTGACTGTTCCAGCATCATTGTTTCTACATTAATTATTGATGAATTGACTAAGACCACTTGAATATTTGATTGTAAATTACGCCTTTGCCAACGGTGCTGATTTATGATCCACCAAAGAAAGGTAACGTCTCCAACTCTTGAAGTATGTAACAATGTTTCCTGTGAAGCTGCCTAAAACACGTCTTTGCTCAGAAGGAAAAGGGATGCTATTTTTATGTACTGTGTTTTTTTAACTTATAAAAATAAAGGAGTGGAATGGAAAACGGAATTTCCATAAAGGGGACCAGAGTATTGTACTTACTGCAACCATTAACAGAATTAAACTAGGAACAAATGTAGTTACTGTGCTCTGTGTTTGCACGTCAGAGAAGCTGTTGCCATGGGCTCGGCTTCGAAAATCTGGGAAGTCAAAAGAGTACAGGTGCACACTAGGATTTTATTTAAGAATGATGATATGTGCGAAAAAGCCTGTGGTTTGTAAGTTTTAATAAATAAATTTTTAAAAAGTTGCTCTGCTGTGTGACATTACCTTCTCAAACTATTCGTGACACCTTAAGAAATCTGTGTCACCTTGCTTTGTGGTCAGGGTCGTCACAAGGGGCTTTCCTTTGCTTCCCTCTGTCGGGAAATGCAGTGAGTTGTTTCCCTAATATGCGAATAAATAAAATGCATTTCTGCTCCATTGCAGACTCAAAGGCCTGCAAAGTCAAAAGCTAAAGGCACAGTTTATGCCTGATATAACTTGTTGATGATGTTCATGGGAGATTAACACATTTGTCAACATCACAGCTCGCATTACCACATCCTCTCTCACTTCTTCTCTTTTGAAATAGCCAATGCGTTGACTCCAGGGTGTGCAGACCTCTGCCCTTGATGTTGCTGCAATAGTTTAAGAGCAGTATAGGAGCTGTGAGATGTGTCTAGTAAGCGTGGGTAACCTTTTTTTTTTAAATTATTACAATGTTAATTAGTGTTTGTTGCACTGATAAAGACTGAGTCACATAAGAGATCTAAATGAACCTGGTAATTAAAAGATAAGACAAAAGCTGCACTTCTTGTTTTTGATATCGAAAAATAGAATGCAGAAGGAGCTGTAGGCGTGGCTGTGCATCAATGAAATCAGCATATTTTTTCTTGCTTGGAAGAATTCTTCTGCTTAAACAGTGTAGTGCATGTTTAAGTATTTATTCCTAAACAGGCATATTCTTTATGCTGGTAAATCCTCTGGTTACATCATGGTATAAATGTAAAGACACATCTGCAATCATGCACCAAAGCACCCCTTGCCTCTACTCCTCCTATCAGCTCGATGTCTATGTCACCTCCACATCACAATCTGATGATCTGTACTCAGGTGAATACTACAGACACAAAATAATGGGCGTGTATAGAGGGGCGATCAGAAGGAGGAAGCAGCCAGCTCTCTGTGGTGTGCAATCGCCTCCTGTTTCTGACAACATGTGTGCACAAACAAATACACACAGTACACACACACACACACACACACACACACACACACACACACACCATGCAAAACTGGACTGTGGTTTCTGGTTTAAGCACACAAATGCACAGTTCATTTGCATAACCTTAACTTCCACACTAAGCTGGCACACACACACACAGGCACGCACAAGCATACAGATGTAACTTTCTCAGACACGCTGCAGAGCTTTCCCAGTGACGGCTGACATATTGTGAACGACTGCTTGCTGGAGATAATGCGCGTCAATGTAAAGGACACACACATCCTTTAATGCCTTATTTTCTCACACAAGAGCACTCAGCAGGCAGTTCCTCCTAGAACCAAAAGGTAAGTTTACTGTAAATCCTCTGCTTTAACTTTAAGGTTATTATTGATGCAGTTTCCACTGTGATAATGAGAATACTGTGAGTGATATATTTATTTCTATACTTAATGATATTTAAATACTGTAATTTTTTAATATATTTTAATCATTACTTTCAATATTTTAGTTTTATTTAGTTTGTATTTAGTCCTGTTTCCTGTTAAACTGATAATATGTTGTAGCGCCCCGAAGTATGTCAAACTAAATTTAGACTTTGGTTCATTTCTTCATCTGGATTATGTATTATATGTGTATTTAAATATGAGCAAAATATCTTAACATTCAAGACTGTAAATACAATGTGGTGTTGTGTCTAAGAGCTTCTCTGGCTTTTCTTTATTTTTGTTAAGTCGAGTCAGCTTTACATATACAGCTCGATATCACAAACCACAAATTTGCCTCTAGGAGCTTCACAGTCTGTAAAGTACATGACACCTCTGTGCGGATAAGAAAAAACTCTCCCCTTTTCTCTCTCTTGTATCTGTCCCTTTCTTTCTCTATGTAAGATGAATTCCACGGTAACCCAAAGCACACTATCCTTGGCCATGAGCTCCATGATGACCTCAAGCCCCTTATCCGGTAGCTCAAAGCCGTTGGATGATCCTCCAAAGTACCACCCAGCCCTCCTGGCCATCTACTCCGTGGTTCTGCTCAGCGGCACCATCAGCCTGAGCCTGATGATGCACATCATGAAGTCCAGCACGACATCCATCACCTCCATCGCCGTACTCAACCTCATCTTCGCCCACTTCGTCTTCCTTCTCACCGTGCCCTTCAGGATTTACTACTACGCTACTTATCAGTGGAACCTGGGCCTCGGGTTGTGTAAAGTGGTCAGCAGCATGATCCACATCCACATGTACATGTCTTTCGTCTTCTACGTGATCATCCTCATCACGCGCCTGATGTCGTTCTACCACAGAGACGACCCGGTGGCGTCCCTCCAGAAGATGCATGCGCTCGTCGGCAGTGCTGTGGTGTGGCTGGTGGTGCTTATCACAGTCCCGTGCATAATCCATTTTTCCTATGGCAAGGCTCAGGGAATGAACAATAACAATACCACACGCTGCTTCCAGTTCGGGAACAACATAAAGTCTTCTGCCAAGGTGTTGAACTACATCATAAGCACACTCATCATAGTGGTGGCCACAGTGCTGACAGCCCTCCAAGCCAATGTCTTGAGGGTTTTATACAGGAAGCACCACGAGGGATGCACCTCTCAGCAGGACTTCGGGGCTCAGCTGAAGAGTCTGTGCTTTGCTCTCATCATGGTGGTCTGCTTCATCCCTTACCACATATTCCGGCTGAACTACTTAGAACAGCTCCACCTGCAGGATGTCAACGAGGTGTTTCTGAGTCTGACCACTTTCAACTGTTTGGACATGCTCACCTTTTTGGGAAGGAGAACTTGCTACATGTGTTACCCTGGAAAGGCTATCTGACAGCTGTTGGTAGCATGTGTGTCAGGGGGTTGCTTTTAATTTATAACTTCATTTCACTTTGCTGTTCATCATTGCATTATGAGTTTCTAGTAAGAGATTTGCTTCATTACAGGGTCAGTGTGTAGGATTTAGGGGGATGTATTGGCAGAAATTACATATATTATAATGAGTATGTATTCGTTATCTTAGAATGAGCTGTTTATATCTACATAGGGAGCGGATCCTTGTCTACGAAGATCACCATGTTGCACCTGTATGTTTCTACAGTAGCCCAGAAAGGACGAACCAAACACTGGCTCTAGATAGGGCCATTCATGTTTTCACGTTGGTCACTGTGATTAGAGATAGCACTGGCGATCTGAACCGGTCAGTGGCGAAAAAAAGCACTTTTAATGCGCAAACTTATACGGGACGCACTTGCCCCCATATCTACCTCGCGGCTGCCGGCTGCATCCGCCTCCCTCAATACTGAACCAATTTTAAAACGAGTTGTACCTATGAATCATACGCACACATACACATGGGGAAATAGGGCCCAGGTTGAAAAATACCAAAGTTATCCTTTAAATTTTTGTCTCAAGGTTTACTTAAAATGTTCACTTAAGTATTTATGGTTTTCTCCTTGTCTTGGTCTTATACTTAAGGAATCCCTAGACTGTTGCACGAAAGAACTTAGCAACCGAAGCAAGGTTAAAAAAAACTTAAGGTACCTTTGACTCTATCTTAACTGCAACATGACCGAGTTTATGTTGATGATTGAAAATACCTAACACACCCTGAGAAGAGTGTTCTGTGACCAGTTGAACCCAACAGATTTTACACTATAGGTGTGACTGAATTTATTTTTCTTGCCGTTTCTTCCTATAATCGTTTTCTGTTTCCTGGTATTTGTGCTTGCTATAATTGCTTTCCCCCAGAAGTACATTTATTTCCTCCTCTGACCAATATGGTTTCCTTGTCTTCTGTTCTTCTGCATTTTTTTCACTACCTAACCATAAGCCAACTTAGTGAGACGATAACAGGCATCACAAGCGTGAGTGCAAGCCAAAAAACAATCTCTTTCGGTGCAGTAAGCGAATTAACATTTTTCCTTTACTAAGAAAACCTTTTAAGGGATTCTGTGTAACTGTGTGAGTCCCTCGGCTAAGGAGAAATTAGGCCTTAAGGAGAAAACTCAAAGTGTTTTGTGCAACTGGTCCCTGGATCTTGAGTTATCGAAGAAAAAGGTGAGCGCACATTAGCAGGTGCTGGGCTAGCGGCCTTTCTCTAGCATGCCGAACAGCCTAGGAGAAACACTGATTTGTATTGTGAACCTGCTTTATTCAATGTTCTGACTGGTTTAAATCGTCTGTTTTGGAGAGGAAGACACTTCTGTGGATAATTCAGAACAATGAACACTGAAGGAATTCTAATAAGGAGAAGTTTCAGCTGGTTGCAATACATAATCCTCACCACTAGATGCCACTAAATCCCCCTAAACCTTACACACTGATCCTTTAATCCTACCAGTTGTGTCATCTGCGTTTTTTTTTTTTTGTTTTTTTTTGTGATGTGACTTATTAAACTGTGTTGTACTTATTTAAATTATTATAATAATGTTTGCCTTTATTTGATAGCTGAAAGTTGTTGAGAAACTTGTAGTGATAGTTGAGAGAGGTGTCACATGATGTAGTAAAGGCCAATGTAGTGTGTGTCTTAACCTACTACCAGGCTATCAAGGCACCTTTTAAACTGTGTTTCTATTTATGAAAGAATGTGACATGTCTGGAAACTGTCCTTTGCTTTTTCAAAATGAATGAACTCTTGCCATCTGCTGGTCTTTGGATATACTACACAGGCCTCAAGCTTAACATTTGTAATGCTAGATTATGCTAATGGTCTTTACTGTAAGTTTCTTCATGTTTCTTACAAAGTATGACTTCATATGAAATACGTGAGTGGAAATACAAAGATAAATATATTTTACCATATTTGCTAACACTTAACCCCTGTGTGCATAGCTGGAGTGAAATAAATGTCTAAAATTGTTACTTTTTTACCATTATTTTGTGAAACATTACCTCAACCCTCTTGGATCTTTTACCTCCTGCCCTCGGAGGTGGTGTCAGAGGCCCCGGCTGATATACACACATGCACACAAACACACACACCTGGTGATCCTTTCCTTTTGGTTTTTATGGCTCTGGGTTACTGTTTAACATCCCCACCCTACTTTGAGTTTGTTTAGTAAATCGATCTAATGACAGGGCTATGGTGGCGCCATCCAATGTGTCGCTCCATGAATTATAGGCCGTTCAGCTCTTCAACCTTCCCTTTTAATGTCGTCGAACCCACCGTTTTTCCTGTTCTCGGTGTCACTAATGTCGCACTGAGGGGCTGCTAACTGCCGGAGTACAACGGTACACCTGGATAAATGCACATCCCACACGGAAACAGAAACACAGGTAAGTCAAAGTCCTCCTGTGAAGTACATTGTCACTGAAATACAACATATCCACACTGGCTGTGGAAATTATTAGGTAAGCTGCTTCTTTTGCAGAGGAAGTGCAGCATACCTTTTCGCAGTTTCTCAGGGAAGTTTGGTAACATGTTCTGCTAAATCACGTGGTTTGTATTTTGGTGGTAATGGTGGCGGTGCTCCCCATTCACACACACTTTAACTGCTTTCATGTGTCCCGTGAGGAAGGCTGGTATTCTTTTTAACTGTAGAATATATATTTACAGTAAGGGGTTGTAGATTTTGTGTGTGCGTGTGTGTGTTTTGTCTGAGATACTGTTCTCGGCCCTGTGTAGGCAGACAGCATTTTGTGAGAACAGATAAGGTAGGCTCACTTTGTCACACATGTTGTGCTGTAAAGATCATGTGATAACCTATTTCACCTGTACAAGGACGTCATCTATAACTGTGTTGCAGCAGGTTTGCTAAGCAGGAAGATGGTAATACAGTTGTGTTTTTCTCCTGTGATGCACTACCAATGTGAAAGTACATAAAAAATAACAGTATATATATGTACATATATTTGCAAAATGTTTAAAATAAATTGTTTGTATAATTCACTGTAATTGGATATTGACATTCCCGCCCCCAGACGTCTAATTGTATAATATATTGCACTCAAAACAACAGCACTTAAATTAACCTACTTTTGTGAAGGTTGCAATGGTGAAGCTTTGTTACGGTCATGGCAGAGAGCTGTTGATAATATTCTACTGCACTGTGTAGTTTTTTTACTGTTGCCCAGGTATCAGGAAGTAGTGGTTTACAAGTTTACAAGTGTCAGTTAGGCGGCTGATCATCATCTGGGACAATCAAAACCTCTAATCTAAATAGAGGCAACAGTATTCTGGCCAGTTCACACAGAGATGGCCTCTTAGCACTGAGTTTTATGGCTTCAAAGAGCTTTTGGTTGCTAGGTGGACGCAAGGTCCCTCACTGACGTCATGCTTGGTTCTCAGCGGAAGAAGTCATAGCAGCTTTTATTGTTCTAAGTACTTCTATGAATGTGTTAATCATGTGTTTTTACCAATATGCACACATAAAATTCCAACATAAATAAGCTTCTAGGTTGCAGTTTTATCGCCAGGAGATAGGGTATAGGGCGATAGGGCTTTATAGGGCACCTATAAAGTCTTACTGTGATGCAGGTTTGCACCAAAACATGGCTGACAAAGTTTCCAGTATATAAGTGCAGTGAACAAAATTAACACAAACAAATCAAGAAGAGTGTGTGCTTTGTCAAGTATTTTAAATGTAGAAAGAACAAGACAAAGCCTCATTATTACTCTAATAAAGATTTGAATTCCTCGGCTTGCTGTCTTTGCACTTCACATTGGAGGGTGAGGCTAAAAGAGCTCGATTCTACCTGTGATATTGTAACCATCCACCAGGGGCATTAGACAGTGCGGTTGTGGTGGGGCCCGGTGGTGGGGTGGTTATGGACAGAGCAGGCCCTGCAACAATATGGTGGGAGGAGAGCTAACCATTGCAAGTGACTCAGATTGCTACCTTTAAAATGTGCCTGTGTTCAAAGACAAACTCACTTTAAATTTAAGAATGCTGGCATTTGCTATATATGCTAATAATGATATAATTTCGCATGAACTCAAACACGTCTTGTGTTGTAGTTGTTTTGTTGTTGTTGTTGTTGCGATGACTTGATGTTGTTTTGTCTTGCTATTGTTATTGCTGAAGCCGTTGTGTCATGAATATGTTCTATTTCGTAATTGTGTTTTTTTTATATGATAATGTCTTTTAGCAGAGAAATTATTCTCTGTTTGCTGCCCAGGGACTAAAGATGAAAATTGCTGGTGCAGCTGTCCCCATGAAATAAAATAAAATAGAATAAAATGAAATAAAATAAAACAAAACAAAATAAAATAAAATAAAATAAAATAAAATTACATTTAAAAAAATAAAAATGAAATGAAATGAAATTAAATAAAAAAAATACTTATACTAAATAAACTATAAAAACTTTAAATAGACCATTAAACAATCAAATTAATAATCTCATATTTTCTTTAGTATTTTTGTCATATACAGATATACAATGCTTGCTGGGTAATATGTATCTTGATGTTGCCCAGTTTCGAGTTGAGAAATGATCAAACATGAATATCTAGAGGAAGTAAAACTTGTAACAAGGTTTCTGTAGGCGAACCTGCGGAACGATCATTTGATGGATCATGTGACGATACGACATACAGTAGCTAGTCTAGGCACCAAATCTGTCAAGACTGACAAGCTGAGCACATCTGCAAACCCAGTGAGCAGTCGTGCCTCTCAAACATTAAAGGGACAGCAAGAAAAGACAAGAGAAAGAACAGGAGGAGGAGGTGGCAAAGGTCCTTACATTAGATCCCCCCTTTCTTGCAGCAATGCAGCAGTTCAGCTGGTATATGTGTATGTGTGTGTGCGTGCGCTTCACAGCTAACTGACATGCACGGGGCCTGTCATAATGGCATGCACTGGGGCCTGTTGTAACTACCTTACACAACTGCTGTCTGCATGTGAGTTTTGCTTGTGGTAAACCCAACTATCTCACACAATAGCCTCTTAGAAAACCAAACACTTACATGCAGTATATAGGCTGACATTGTATCCACTACTTTCTTCTTACATTCAGGTCAGGTTTATACTTCCTAATCCTCGATTAATGCAGATATAGTTTCATATATCTGATGTGATGATAAATTAAATCCGGCACACTCATGCTGCAGCGCACTGTGCCAGCCCTTTTATGTGTTAGGTGATTGGGAACGTGATTGTAAGGAGTCAATTCTTCTCCACTCTTCACAAAGCTGATGAGTCAGGAGGCCTGACCTCACCGCCTAGTTAAAATGTAATCTCTCTATCACGTCTCTCCCCTCTCTGTCTCTCCGTCTCTCTCCACTCATGTCACTCAACCCCTTTATTCCAGCCCTGTGTATTAACTAAGATGCCTGTTATTACCCTGCGACTGGATACTAATTGCTTTTCCTCTTTATGTCCGGTAAGTAATCTGTGATAATGTGCATTCTCATTTACCGAGCCCACAGAGGCAATATATTACCCCCATGTCTGCTCATATACTGTAGGTGCTTGGCTGACTGGCTCGCTCATTACTGATGTAGGGCATCAAATCTCCCATAACACTGCCTCTTATCATTTACAGCCCTCTCTCACACAATGCCCCAAACTGATTACCTTTAAGCCACACAATAAGATTTAGTGCAATGAAACTCTCAATGTAAAATGGGTGGGTTGGGACGTTTTAACTGGTTTATGGTGGTAAATTACAGGGTGTTTACAGCATTCCTGCTCTGAAAGAGAAGGCAGCTCACGGACGACTGCTTAAGTTGTGCTTTTGATTTTCACTTACACGTCCCCTGCCTCACTTAGTCATGCATTTCTCAGGAAATTTGATCTGTTTATACAATAAGAGAGCTAAATTAAGTGTGAGAACTATAGAGTTGGTAGTATTTAATACTTTTACACAGCAGATTGGCTCATCAGCCTTAAAGGAAAACACTAAGCGGCGTGTTACCTTGTCTGAAAATTCTCATTCATCTTAAGCAGCAGGACGAATGTAGGTATTTACTGATATTACGTCACAGACAATGAAAGCAAAACTGCAATGAAACCTGTAACAAATCACTGAAACTCATGTAAAAAAAACCATCAGCGTGGCCAATGAGGTTAACGCCATTTGAAAAGTTAATATGACCAGCTGATTAAGAAATACGTAAGATAACGTTTTATGAACTTTTATGAATGAGGGTTGGTGTAAACTGGAGGTGTGTGTTTGTGGAAGAGTAAATGGAAGTTATCAGTGTTTTCCACTTCACTTTGTGTCTTTATAGATTGTATCTGCTGAGGTGGTGGTGCTATTACTCCACTATTGATTAGATTAGGAAGCCTGGGAAGGACACACACACACACACACACTGACACACACATTCATAAATGTATGTGCCTATAGGAACAAAACCCCACTGTGTGTGCAGATACACGCGCACAGAAGCCCATCAACGTGCACCTAAAGTGCAAGTCGTCCCCCAAAATCTGATGAAATCTGCCTCGCATCTTTTAAAAAAAGACGCAGAGGGGGAGAGGGGAAATATCTCCTTCGCCATTATCTACTCATCCCTGTGATAAGTGTGAGAGAAGGACAGATAAGTAATGTGCAATAAGGTGAGAAGTCTCAGCCACAGCTCCTCCCCTCTCCTTGTCCTCGGCCCAATCAGATGGGATTATAGATCTTTTATGCCATGCATCTCCCTTGTCATGGCTGTAAGAAATAGATGAAGCAGAGACCAGCAGACAGGGGGAGAGGAGATAGAGTGAACTAAGGAGAGAAGGGAAGCTAAGAGAGAAAAGAAGAAGGTGTGAGGAAGACTGAGCCGAAACAGGAATGAAGTATCCCTTTGCTCCTCAGAGTAAGTCTCTGTTAGACATGGAGGTAGCAAACTATTGTGAAGGCCTGGATCCCTCATACAGCACGCTGGGCTTTGAGAATGCAGATGTGTTCTGTGGAGGAGGTAAGTGCATGTAGCCACCTACACACACACACACACACACACAAACCCATGTATAAGCAAATAAGACATACACTAACTGACGCACTAAACGTGTTTTCAGCGTAGGGCATGACAGTGGACAGATACTGTAGCACACTCCATCTTTATAAGCTCACAAATACACACACCAACAAGCATCTCACTCACACATATCCCACAATAAAGTAGGCTCCTGCAAAATGCCTTAAGATGGACAGAGAAATTAGAGGAGCTGTGTCCTGTTTAGCATGATGCATCTTTAAGGAGGGTTTGGGATGGGGTGTCTACAGTACATGAGAGATGGGTAAAGAGGTGGACTAGAACTACTGTTAGCTTGTACAATTAGAACTTTAATGATGAAGTGAGAGACACTGAAGGCAAATGAGCTGCTATTTGACTAAAGGGAAAGCAGTAAGCACCTGTTTTTATATAACAAGCTAAATTAAGCAGTGGGGAAAGTCATGACATTTCGGTGCTGGCCAACAGAGCGTGTATCCAGTTAATTCCCTCCTTATTTGCCTGTTATGTATATAGATATGTAAGAGGATAGCTGTGGAGGAAAGAGAAAGGCTAGGTAGAGGTTGTCATAAGGGTGTTTCACTGACACGCTGATGTCTCCTCAGTGTGTGAACAGAAAGTTAGTCGAACATTGACTCATCTTGCCTAGAGAGATGTGTGTGTGTGTGTGTGTGTGTGTGTGTGTGTGGGGGGGGGGGACATGCTATGATCGTGTCCCATTTGGTAGGCTTTGAACGGATGCTAAATATGCACACAGTGATGATGATTATGGTTTTGATTATGGCGAGAATGCTGCTACTGCTGATAATAATAATGATGGTGATGCTGATGATGAGGAGGAGATGGTAGTGAAAATAAAAAAACGCACACACAATGATGTTTAAAATGCGTGCCAATTGAAGTGGCATTCCTACTGAGCTATTTTTGAATGTTTACTGCAACACACTGATGCTGTTTGTCAGTGTGTTTGTCTCCATACCGATGTATGCAAGCTTCAGTCTTTGTACTGTGTGCATTTACCTGTGTGAGTGTTCCTCTGTGTTTCAGACAGCATGCCGACAGAGCCGAGCCTGCAAGTCGGTGCAGACGGGGTCAGCAGTAACTGTGCCATCTGCGGAGACAAAGCCACCGGGAAACACTACGGAGCCTCCAGCTGTGACGGCTGCAAGGGCTTCTTCAGACGCTCCATACGCAAGAGTCATGTCTACACCTGCAGGTACAGATGGCAAAATACATACTTTATGAGCACACATACATACATAGAAAAAAAATCATGCCACGCTTACATTATTGATACTATAACAGTTTTAACATGCATACGCGTAAATGTAAACATGCTCTTGTACATGTGTATGGTCATGTGCAGATCTACCTTATGTTACAGTACACTGTGTCATCATGTCTTGTTCTGTAGGGCTACTTATGTCATTGTATGCTCATTGCAGGTTCAGCAGACAGTGCATTGTGGATAAAGATAAGAGGAACCAGTGTCGGTTCTGCAGACTTAACAAATGCTTCAGGGCTGGCATGAAGAAAGAAGGTAGGGGAACTTCCTGTCTGCTTCCTGGACCATGTTTTGTTTTCGTCCCATCTGGAAACTGCTCAAAGTTCACTTGTAACAAAACAAAATAGAAAGTCAAACTAATGTGAATACCATGTTAGTTTATGTACAAATACCATGACTTTGGTCCGCTGAGGCAAACGTACAGTCCTCAGACTAGTGGTGCTTAAGGAGAGGCTGTCTTCAGAGAATCTAAAAGCTGCTTCAAGATGGTCTCAGCTATAAAATAGGTGATTACTTAGTGTGTCTGTGTATGTGTGTGTGTATGTGTATTTATGAGGGGTATAACCTTGGCACAGGGTTTTATGGCACCTAATCATGTGTTATTCAAACATGTTGTTCTGGATTGCAACTGGTTAAAGTTTGACTCCTCTTGCTGATGCCAGCCTGCATGGCTATTTTCCTAAATATTAACTGCCCTAGTGGCTGCCGTCACCATTGTATTTAAGACTTTTCCTACCCAAAACTCAACACTGATGAATACCAACTCAAGCAAATTCTTGCAAACATTAAACCAGGAGAGAGACTTGATGTTTTCCACCTTGAAAATTAGATGATTTGAACAATAAGGAAATACAGGAAGTGTCTTGTTGCTCTTTCTCTTTCACACACTCAGTAACTTTAACTGTTACTTTTTAGCCGTACAGAACGAGAGAGATCGGATCAGCTCCCGAAGAAATATCCCTGACACCCAAGACTTGCCACCCATAACTATTTTGGCCCAAGCTGAATCGCTGTCCCAACAGGTGACATACATTTTTATTATATTTTCTTTCACGCAGCATATCATGTGCATGATTAAATTACTTGCACAATATTGTGACCCCAAGAAACCATTTCCTGTCTCCCTCCAGATCACCGCTCCAGTTGGAATACCAGACATATCGGAGCAGAAGTCCGCCACTGTCGGAGATGTGTGTGACTCTATGAGACAGCAGTTATTGGTGTTGGTGGAATGGGCCAAGTACATTCCTGCATTTGGAGAACTGCCACTGGACGACCAGGTAACACGGCTGTGACGCATGGCTGCTCAACTTTGAATAGAAATAAGTCATCCTTGTGCACATTTTAATCCCATGTCCTAAGTTTAAATTAATACCTCAGACTTCAGTACTTCAGTTTAATAACATGAGTGTGCTCACTGCTCTTACAAATGGCTTATTCTATCAATGCACTTTCAGTTGGGATGAAACAAAAGATTCTCTTTAATCAGCCAAATGCACTGTGAGATGAAAGAATATTAAAAGCAATAATTAAGTGGAGTGTTACAGAGAGACTACTAAATATAGTGTACTGGACCGCAGTACAAACATGGCTCCTTTGTGATGTACATAAGGGCAAGTGGGGAGGCATTGTCGCATTGTTTGTGCTCTTTGTTTAACTGTGTGTGTGTGTGTGTATGTGTGTGTGTTTGTTTTCAGGTGAGTTTGCTCAGGGCTCATGCAGGTGAACACCTTTTGCTCGGGGTCGCCAAAAGGTCAATGCCATTCAAGGATTTCCTGCTCTTAGGTATGAACTCACCAGTAGAACAGCATGTCATTCATACATGCCAGTAATCAGGTGGTTCTGCACTTAAGTGTGACGACTGATCAATTTCTAACACTTTACAATACAGTATACACAATAATGTGAGTAGAAACTAAGGAAATCAGGAACAACCTGATAATTAATGAGTCATTCGTGAGCAGCGCAGCGAGCAATGAGCAGCATTAACTCTGAGGCGGACCATAAAGAAGATCTTAATGGTTGTAACGGTCAGATAATCATGAAGTAATGAGGGACTACTTAGCAACTACTCAGTATGATGCACCACTTTACTTTGGAGGGGGCAAAGAAAGTGTAACTAATGATTAAATTATTGGTAATTAATGAGTCGTTGCTAGTTTGAGGGGCTACTCATGATGAAAGTGGGCGTTCTTGAACTAATCATTACTGTAGTATCCTAGAAACCCACTGTTATGTTAATACCCCTTGATCCAAATTTATTAAGGAACATCTCGTCAATTATCAGGTCATTCCTCACCCCTGCCTTACTAACTAATAACATTTTGTGTACTGTATTGTAAAGTGTCACAGATCCAATGCTATGTTAGCTGACAATGATTAACTAAAGGTTTCTATTTCATTGTGACTTCAAAAGTGTCCCTTGTAAACAGCATTACTCATTACATAGACATGCACCTACATCATACTGTAGGCAGGTCTGTCCACAATACACTAAATCAGCCTTGACTGAAACCCTTAAATAGACTTGACAAAAGTCAGATCCAACTTTTCTTTCTCTCGAGGCGTAACATATTCTCCTCGCCCTTCCACTCCAGCGCTCCACACCATACACCACCTACATACCTTACCCTCCCCCTCAACTCCGTGCAACACTGGCACTAACTGATGCTCGCTGTGTCTGCAGGTAACGGCTGTGTGATCCACAGGAACAGTCCTGAGCAGGAGATATATAAGGTAGCCAACCGAGTGCTGGATGAGCTGGTTCAGCCCTTCCAGGATATTCAAATAGACGACAACGAATATGCTGCACTCAAGGCAATCGTCTTCTTTGACCCAGGTAAAAAAAAAAGTAACTTATAGTACTTTCAGCCATCAGGGGATTTGTCAAGTTCAGCTGATAACAAATGCTACGAACAAGTTCACTCTTCCTGCATGAGAGGTTACCCAGTTTTTTGCAGCTTGACTCTTGCCTCTCCATTCAGGAACTATAATCTGTATGTGTAATTTCTGACACTGATTGGGCAAGATTAGGAATTTCCATTGGTAATAACCTTGGCACAGGGGTTGGTATTGTGTAATGACCCATCAAGATGGACAATAAAAGCTAAATAAATGACACAAATGTCTCGTTTCCAGTCAAGTAATGCACTCATTTTAAAGATAAAAGGCCAGACAAACAAGGAACAAGAAATATAAAGAAAATTCACAATAATAAATTGTAGAAATGGCAAACTAATTTTTTTTTAATAATACCTTGTCCGATACCCATTGCCATTTCTGCCCAGATCCCCCTTTTCCCAGCCAATCCCATCCATCTGGTTACATTTCCCCTGAAAGTTAGACCCCCAGTCCCTCCATCGCTTTTCTTAAACGTCTCCTTAGTCTCGTGTGACCACAATTCCTGCCCCCGTCTTCTGTTACTTGTCCTCCCCCTTCACTAAATCCCCTCATATTACCTTCATGCCCCAGTTTGACCATAATCATTCCATCAATTCCACTCATATCCTCAATTCCATGCCTGATCTTTCTGTTTTCCTCACCCTCCTGTCCTTCAATCCCATCCTCCACCCCTCCCCCCTGTTAATCCACACCCCACTTCCACGCTTTGCCTCCCGATCTGCAGATGCAAAGTCTTTGCGGGACCCGTCGAAGATCAAGGCCATTCGACTACAGGTAGGTCAAACGTTTGACTCTTGTAGCTTATTGCTGAGCTGCAGATCTGATCTAGTATGTTCTGTTGTAATTTCCAATTAACAGTGTTAAGGATGGGTATCTTAAGCTTGATTTTTAAACTGCCTGTGTTATACTTTACGTTTTAACACATTTGTAATACTATCTCCAGAGGAAGGACAAGGGCAGTTTGCTTACACTGACTTTGCCTTGTTTGTGCAGGTCCAGATGAGTCTGGAAGACTACATTAATGACCGTCAGTATGACTCCAGGGGTCGTTTCGGAGAGCTCCTACTCCTGCTGCCCACCCTGCAGAGCATCACCTGGCAGATGATCGAACAGCTCCAGTTCATTAAGCTCTGTGGCCTGGCCAAGATAGACAACCTGCTGCATGAGATGCTGCTGGGAGGTGAGACTGGGCCCCATGTCTGTGCTTGTAAACCTACAGAAAGAAAAATAGGGTGACCTTCAGCAAGACCACCGCACGCTCCGGAGGAGCTATGCAGTGATAAATGTGTGGAACTGGACAAGCATGAAGCAATGTGAAAAACAAAAAAAAGTATACATACTCGACAAAGTTTTCCTCGATAAACAAAAAGTCAGGGATTTTGCTGAGAGACGATATAACTTTGTATAATCCACATTAGGCAAAGCCAAAATAGACAACTTGCTACATGAGATGCTGCTGGGTGACATCTGCAAACACATCTAAATGTGTATGAATAAGGAAGTCTGTAGTTAAAGGCAGAATGCATCAAACATATTCTAAGCAGGGCCGTGACAGACAAGCTCAAGCACAAGATGAGGCGTTGAAATAAAATACTAAGTCATCTCCAAAAATGTCTCCACTTTTTCTCCATACATGCTAAAAACAACCCCAGAATATGACAACCAGACTTAGAAGACAGTGTACGGAAAGAGCAGTGTGTGTTTTATTTTTCAGCATCCTGTAGGAATGTGGAACTAACATAACAAAAAAAAAATGCTATTGAAATATGGTTGAGATATTATATTTAGTAATGTGAATGTACAACTGATACACACACACACGAATACAGTGAGAAACCAAAAAATAAACCAACTAAACCAAACAATTAAGAAAATGAATTGACATCCCTTTACATTTTATTAAAATACAGCAAATAGGAGTTATTTTAGCATGCCACAGAGCTGCTTACATAAATTTGTCAGCTTTTAAACCAGGCCTGACGTAATTACTGTATGCCGATACACTTTTGAAGGCACAGTCTGAAATATACTCTGCATAAATTTGTAAAATTCGCTCACTCAATTAATTAAAAGTTCCAAAACACAGATTTATACCAGCGCTGTTGGGAAAAACTATTCTAAAAACTATTCTTTTTAATCTGATAAGGGCTTGTTAGGTGAAAAGCCTTGTGCAAGAGGATATCTGTGTTTTGGAGCGTTTCATTAAAGGGATACTTTGTAGATTTTTAACCAGCCTTGTATCATTACAATGTGAGTAGTATGTGTAAATGAACTGTGGTAAACTTCCATCCATCTTACCAACACCCGATCTCCCTGCTCGTCTCCCAGCTAAAATCATTTGGCTTCATCCAGCGTTTTTTTGCTGGCTGCGGACTGTTCTTTGAACTACACATGGATTTTCGTATACCTGCCACCACGGACACAAAGAGTATAGAAGTGCTTTGAGAGTGAGACCCACTCCTATCTGTCTCTTTCAAACAAAACTTTGATCACATGATAAAACCAGGCAGTGCAGATCAATTATAAACTAAAATGTGGTCAATGCATTGCCAATTTCTCGTCCAAAATGTTGCCTGTTTCTCACCTAAAAACATTTAAAACATATTAAGCATACCATTTAACTGTAATTGGACATCTTTGTCGTCAGCCGTCAGCCATATTAGTTCCTGTTCCTTTCTTGGTAGGACTGGTCCTTCCAATTCGGGTCCTATAGCGATAAGGCAAGACTTTGGTGAACACACATTCGAACAGGCTAGCAAGAGCCCAGGTGTGCATGCACAATGAGTTATGGGTACTTTGTGTCCACTGAGGATACACACATACATAGCTGAAAATTCTCAGAGGGGCGGACTCAATCCTGGATAGAATTCAAACGGTTCTTGACATTGCAACAGTCCTCCAGTGGGATTCAGTGAGGTAGCATCCTTGAAATTCAGCTGTTCAAGGATCTTCCTTGACTTTGAGTCAAGAATGAGTCCTAAAACCTGAAAATGAGTTAGCATTTTTGCTCTCCCAGTTCCCTTGTCTCAAAGTCAATAGCTTTTTTGAATGGGTTTTTGGTGAGATGCCTGAAATAAAGTCTGAAAGAGACTTTCACATTTTGTTCTATGACATTAAATACATCTGTGAATATCCCATTCGTGCATGCTAAAGATTCTATGTGTCTTAAAAAAGACGGTTGCTAATAAATGGCTAAATGACCGAGCAACCCAGGGATGACGTTTTTCTGTTGACTTGCGCAAAAGTTAGCATCACACTGGTTCCCTCGTCAAAAATCCTACAAGATTTTTCCATTGGATTTTGGATTATTGCAGAAAATAAGCTCTGTGGCAAAGAAACATTCATTCTATTTACACGTTTTGTTCAGCACGATAACCTTCACAAATGAACATCCCTAGCACAACAAGGCTGTAAAGCTGAGTTAAGTGTGATGGCATTCTGTAGTCCCATTCAGTCACTTGTTAGTAATTGCCTTTTTGAAGACAAATAAAAATGAGTGGGTTATTTACTGACATATTTTACGTTGTGTGAATCACAGACCTTATTTCAGGCATCTAACCAAAAACCCATTGACTGAGACGAGGGAACCATTAGTGCTAGAATGCTAACTCATTTCCGGGTTTTTGGACTCATTCCTGGGACACCCTTTTGTGTTTGAAGTCTACAGGACACACCCCCTACAAACTGCGCTCACCAATTGTACAAGACAAACCTGTGACGTGGTGGTTGTTTGAACCCTTGTAACACCTCAGCTAGCTAAATCCTAACTTAGCATTTTCTGCAGGGCCTCTGCTTCCAAACTAAGGAGCAAATGGGGCTAATCATGGACTGACGGTGGGCGAGTCATGTAGGTGGTGGGCAGGACACGTAGCTGCTTCATCTATAGTCATACCTTCTCATAGAAAACCAGCCAATCTCTTATTACGTCACCCACCAGTGGAGTGTTTTTCGGTCCAGTGCAACACAGTGAATTCTGGCAGTTGTAGGTTTTCTGCTTCTTGAGTGAAAGCAAATCTAATAGCTCTTTTCTTCGGTTTTCTCTGGTCATATAGCACCAATTTGCGTCTTTCTGCTACATAGACAGCCCTGTTTTATGAACAGGCTATCCTTCCACAAGAGAAATACTTCTTCTTTTTTTTTAAATGTTTGAGCCCCTAAATGTCACCTGATAAAAAAAATGTCTAAATAAGATGCAGAAAAATATCTGCTGTAACTACATAATACAAAAAACTGTGTTATGTGTTCAGGTTTTACGTCAGAGCAGACACACCTGCACCACCCAGCACACACCCAGCTGGCCCAGGACCCTTTGACAGGACACACGCTCGTCATCAGCACCATGCCTGTCACTCATACTGCACAGATAGGTAAGAGCTGCACACACAAACTGCTTTCTCTCAGACAAGCACAAACCCTCTGACACACATACACACACGCCCACACAAAATATCAAAGTAATGTTGATGTTCAATTTTATCGCTTCAAATGAAATGTCAGAAAAGTGTGTGCCAGATGTGTTTCTATTAACTTACTTGAAATGAATAAATAGGCATCCTGAATGTAGGAAAAAAAAAATCCATAAAAATGTAACATTCACAAGAATTGATGAGTATTGGCCTATTGTATGCTTTCATTTAAAAATAAAAAAAAATGCTTTTGGCAGTATTACACCACCTAATGGCCACACAAGATTGATGGAAACTGTATCTATAAAGCAGCAGCTATGTGTAATATTTCCCGTGGGCCACAGTCGATGCATTTTACAGACTTTACATGTACAATATTACCCTTTTTCCCTACACAAAAACATTTTAATTTGCAAAACGTAACATATCTCTGTGTCCCTGCCTCTCTCCCTGCAGCCTCTCCAGACACTCCCATCCCATCGCCCCCTCAGGGTCCTGCCCTGGAGAAGTACAAACACTTTCCCCAGCCTCTTTGTCCTCCAGCCAGCCCCACGCCCTCCACACAGGCCGATCTCTGACTTCTCCCTGCACTCTGTCAAACAAGCTGACATGGGCACAGTTTCCCCGTCTTCTATTCACCGTCCAAGTCATGCAAAGATTATGAAAGCAATCCCTGTTCAGTGTCTGTGGTTAAACTTTACCCTGCCTCTACCCCCCGTGACTCCTGGTGGTGTTGCAACAATAACTAATTAAAGCTGCAGTGTGCAGAATTTTCAAACTTCAATATGTCACTTTGAAATCCAGTGAACTAATGAAACACCAAACTAGGGTTTAACAAAACATGCTGTGCATTTCTGTGGTCTCCTAAAACCAATACACTGTTTTTCAACATAGTATCTGAGTTTCACAACACTTTAATGTCAGTAAGGCTCATAGGCATCATGGGAATTGTAAAATTACATATTAGTCTGTTAAAAAAGTTAACGCCCTTTTTAACCATTGCGTTGTTTGAAGTTTTTTTTATTGACTAATGCCTTGCTTGATTGGGCACATGTGCAGAACATCCCCTTCATATTCATGTTTCTTTATGTGCATATCAATCCAGTCATAATAATGTGTAAAAGCACAAAATACTATTTAATCATAAACTTGCTGTTTGTATGAACAGTATGCATCAGTGGGACCTATTACACTGAGTGGTCTAAGATCAGCTGTTGTGTTCTAAAGATCTTCAGAAATGTTGCTGCTCATTTTCAGAACTTAGATTTTCTACATTAAATTACATTATGCAATGTACACAGGAAGTAACTACTTCAGCAGCTGGATTTGTGCGGAAAAAAAAAGAGATTAAATGGTTTATATTTAATACCTGGCCATGAATACATCTCACATACACAATGACTTGTATATATTCTTAATATACATGTATAAAGCAGCTTAAAAATAAAATAATGGGGCACATACGTTTGTGTCCAAGATCAACATGACAATAATAACTTCATTTGTAAAATAGTTTCTAAACGCTTCATGTTAAATGCAAAAAAGAATGTGGTTGAACTGTAATGTTTTAATATCTTACTGTATATAGTCAGTGGATGATAGGAAATATTTAGATCATCAATGTGTCTTGCTGTATTTAATTTCCAAAATCAGTTGTGTATTTTGATTTGTGTTGATAATGTATACATTTCTAAATCTGTGCAGTATATTGATTAAAATGCAATTTTGAGTCTTTGAAATGAATTGACTGAATGTGTATTAACTGAAAATGCATGACACATACACAGTAAGTATGATATGGTGCAGTAGCACCCTCTTGCTGTCAAGAGAGGAACTACAACAGGGTATCAAATGTAAATGGGCTATTGTACTTATTGTAAGTGTTGTATGCATCTGTGCACCTCGCTATGTGAAATGAGTATGCATTCATTCATTCATTTATTTTCCTTTCTTTAAATATAAAAATGTAAAGTATCAGATGGGAAAAGAGGAATTTATTTCCAATTGGACACTGAACTGTTGCTGCAGCCACAAGAAACCATTTCAATGGATATTGCCAAACCAACAAACAAAACAAAAAACAGGAAAGTGGCATTTTTTCATATTTGATCCTGAAAGGAAAACAATATAGACCGACAAATGATGATAAATTGACAGGATGTATTTCAATACGGTCTCTCCACATGCAAGAATACTGAGTGTGGTTTGTCACTTACTTCCGTCATGGAAGTCATCATGCTCCCCGGCAGTTCCATTGGTTAGGGGTATGCAGTGTGTATCCAAAGCTTTATTGGCAAGCTATTGAGACCACACTGCTGGATGATGCTGCTCATCTAAAATCAAACTAGTTTCCCCAACTGTCCATCAGAGAAAACACACTTTGAGACGAACCCTAAAGCCAAACTAGATTGTAAAACGACAATATAAGCTGAAACTGAGCTGTACTGGGGCCAAACTGTACTTTTAAATCTGTTATTTTGTTTATGTCCGTCCACGCCCAATCATTGTCTTGGGGTTTGTGTGTATGTTTGTGCGAGCGTTTATGTGCAGTGGATGAGACCGGGGGATAAAGCTGAGAGCTCTTATTCTCTGTATATTGTTGTGTGACTCAGAGAAAACACTCAGGTTATTTATGGTAGAGGAGATGATGCTGTCTAGAATCAACATGGCCAAATCCTCCTATCAACTTCATAATGGACAAGCTACCTGGCGTAGGTCAAAACAACACAGCCAACAATGGGAGGATGTGTGTATGCATATATACTGTATGTGTGTGTGCTCCTACCTGCAATTTATTTATAATCTGCCGAGGTGCATGTGTGTACACTTCTGTATATGTGTTTTTGGAAGTGTGTGTACGCAGGTAGCTTTAATCAAAGGCCTATAGTGAGGAGATGTGGGGGCCCTGCCTCTCTCCTCTCCCTCAGATAAAACTGGGTGTTAGCATGCCAGTCACATATCTCATCTGAGACGCACCGCTCTCCTCCCCACACCTCGCCGCTGCCCACACTGACAGCACGCTATTACACACCAGTATGACGCTTGCTTCACCTGAGGAGGGCGACGAGGGGGAGAAATAGAGGGGACGAAGAGATATAGGGATGGAGGGGCAAAGGATGGACAGGAATATGAAATATTTTTGTCTTGTATTATCACACAGTTGCATCTACGTTTCACTTGCTAACTTAGGCTCTAATTTTGAAAGTGCTCTAATTTTCTGCTTGGGCCAGGTGCCAGTTATGTGTATCATGTACTTTTCTCATATTTTTGTTTTGAATAAGTAATATAAAACCTAAAAACTTAAGCATATCAGAGAGGTCCTTATTTTCTAATTTACTCCAGACTCACCTGCTAAAATATGCATTCTCCTGCAAGTGTACTAAAATCACCAAGTTATTCAACTTCCTGTTTGCATATTTGTTGCTTTTTAATGTACCCCAGGTTTTAACACATCTGGGAAAACTGCATTCTCCTACTCTGCACCTTGGACATGGAACAATCTTCAAAAAGATCTGAAATTAGAAACACTTTTTCTATCCACTGATGAATTTAAGGGCATCATACAGAATGTGGTGACAGAGACATGTGCTTGTTTTGTTTCTTAAGAGGCCACTATGTTTGAATGGTTGCATTTTAAATGTGTTCTGATTGGCTGCTACCTCTGCCAGGTCTCTCTTATAAAAGAGTTTTCAATCTCAATGGGACTTCCTTGTTAAATGAATGCATAGAAATTAAATATATTTATATAATCATTATAAAAACTGTTAAAATTTGCAATAAAAATCAGACCTGTTGTTTCCCCTTTTCTGGTCATGTGTCCACTAGATAACTGATTTGTCCGTCCATCCACTCATCCCTCCACTAGATGGCAGTACAGGTCTGTGCTTTCACAGTGATCAAATTGCCCTCTAATGGCTGTTATCAATGTGCTTTGCCCTTCCTCTGTCATTCCATGTCAAAATATCAAAAAATGAGGGAAAAATAAATGTAATTAAAAAAAAAAATTGAGCATATTTTAGCATTTTTAATGAGCATCTCTGTCTTGATTACAGCATTTAAGATGACACAGTGTATGTATCAGTTTATTTCAAATATTTTCAACTAAAGTGAAAAACATACTGACATGTTTCATGTTTTTTGAGTTTTATAATAACTATATTTGCATCATCAGTTTAACACATTTGTTAACATTAAGATTATTTAAACAACAAAGAGGATTTTTTTTAAAAATTTACTTCCACATTCTGTGTAAATAAATGTATGTCTCAAAAACAGGCATAACAGATTACAAAGTCACACATGTATGCTCTACACCATACAGGGGGAATATTGGCACGGTCTGAAATGAATGGCATGTGTCAGCGATCCCAGATTAGAGCCGGAGATTGCGGGCTATCATTCCTCACCAGTGCATTTACCCATAATTCCCCTCTGTCTCCAACATATCCGATGATTCCTCCTCTAGGAGACAAGGTGAGGCTGTACGAATCTCTGCCTCCAACTCTGGAATGAATTTAAAACCTCTCCTGAGTGATTTTCTGTGTCTCCGTCCTGCGACTGTGCGTGCGTGTGTGTGTGTGTTGCATGCGTGTGTGGTTTCTGATTATACCACAGCATGGGTGAAGGGAAGGAAAATACAGTGACAGCTTCATTTCCAAAGCTGAGTTCACATAAATGAGGGATTAAAGCAAGCAAGAGGGTTAAGGCACACCTCGGCCTTCAATGACAGCTTTCCCTCCTTAAAATCACTCTCTTCCTCTCTCGTTTTGTCTGTCTCTGTCTCACCTCTCTGTCCGTCTCCATCTTCATTTCTGCCTCCCTTTTTCCATCCTCTTTTATTCTTTCATTCCCTGTTTAGGTTGTCCGTTTTGTCTTGTCACTGCTCATTTGGCCTGCAGAGATAATACACACACAGATGAAAATGTAAAAAAAAAAAAAAAAAAAAATGCATACTGTACCGTTGACTGCACACACACAAACACACAGGGTGATTTACAGGATTGCAGGGAACTGGGGTGTGCTCTACATCATGATGATGGGAACCAGGTTAAGGCAATGAAATTAGGGGTTAGGGCCAGGCAAGGGTGTGTGTGTGCGCGAATGCGTGTTTGGGGTACATTAGGGAAATGAAAAGGGGTGGACCACTGATGGCTTCTGAGATGCAGACTTGTTAGAATAAAGGAATATAAAGAAGACAGGAGACAGAGGAGATGACAGGGTGGATGATAAGATGAGTAGTGCAGTAATGAAAACGGTCCTGTGTACCCCGAGATTACATGGGGAATGAGATTGGAGGGAGAGGGAGAGGAAGAGGAAGAGGCTGAAGGGGGCGTACTATGGAGGGGGGAAATGGGTGAGCAGGGAGTATGAGAGGGAGTGAGAGAATGGAGAGAGATGATGAACCATGGTGAGAGTCAGATGGTTCTGGTGTTAGAGGAAAAAGGGAGGAAAAGAAGAAGAAGAAGAAGAAGGAAGAGAAGAAGAAGAAGAAGAAGTAGAAGAAGTAGAAGAAGAAGAAGAAGAAGAAGAAGAAGAAGAAGAAGAAGAAGAAGAGGTATTACAACTCAGGACGAAGCAGCCCCACTCTGAATGATAAGTGTCTCACGCGCTGAGGGTTATGGGAAGTTCACACAAACAAATGACTCCCATTTGCCAGAGGCGAGGGACACAATTGAGAAAGAAGGGGCGCGAGAGTAAAGGAGGAGAGGAGGAGAGAGGGGAGAGGAGCGAGGGAGAGGACTAAATACTAGAGCCATGATTTCAGATATCTCCATCTGCATTGAGGAAATGCTTACCTTTTTACCCCTCTAATGTTTTCACGGGTGCGCAGCGTAAACTAAAGTACCTTCAATCCAAAGGATATGAGGAGCCCTGTAGTGAAGCGCAGTAAAAGTCTGTGCTTGGTTCCTTAAATTATAGGGCGCCTATGGACCTTGGTCAATAACACTAAATGTATTGCAAATTGTAGTGTGTAGGTGGGCTATGTTTTGCACCATAAGAGGTGATATCAAACCGTAATAAGGGTGCATGAATACTGCCCTTATTTATACTCTAAGCTGCATGGAATCAAAGCTAAGTACGGCTGGATGCTTCGCTTTGAAGATGCCTTCACTCCAGTTGTTTTTAACCATGTGACATGCAGGCCAAAGAGTCTGCAGGTTTTCATTCTACCCAAACAAGCAGCTGATTTTGCTTTGTACCTTCACTTTTCTCATTAAAGGGGTGTTTTTCAGTTGAATTAGATGCCTAAGTGTTTGGTTTAAATGACAACCTTCAGGGACCCTCTGCTTACGGGCACTGAAATGCAGACCCAATAGTTTCAGTTTGATGGGATTGGATATGCCAGCTAATGCAGGGGTCAACCCATGACGTTCAATTTAGGTCACATTTGCTAGCAGCTCTGCAATGTTATAGGCATTTCTGTGCTTTGAGCTAAATGCTAATGACAATGCTAACACTGATGTTTCAAAGGTTTCCATTTCCGCCATCTTATTTTAGTGTGTTAGCGTAACATTTGCTAATTAGCACTAAACACAAAGTACAGCTGAGGCCGATAGGAATGACATTAGTTTCTAGCTACTTGGTTAAAAACAAAAGTGTTGGTCTAATAAATTTGACCAGATAATGCCACTAAATGAAAAGTGAGTGAAAAGTGAGGGGATCACCAAATCTATTATGAGTCATCCTGAGGGGAACATTAATGTCTGCACCAAATCACTCAATACAAAAGTTGTCAAGG